AGACTAGAAGTTGACATCACACCCAAACTTTGTTACAAACTATCTCCCCCACCCCCATTCATCTTTCCTAAAAACAATTTACTCTCCTCTAAGAGGTCTACATCTCCTGTCCCCTCTCCCTAGGAAGAAGGTATTTAAATCTGGATTCTAAGCCACCTTGGGGAGTTATTCATTTTTCCCTGGGATCGCCCACATATACACTAGGTACACATGTTAATGAACTTTTGTTTTTCTCTTGGTAATCTGTCTTTCATTACAAGGGCCTCCGCTAAGAACTCAGAAGGATAGAGGAAAACTATTTTTCCTTCTCCATAATTCCATCTCGGGAAATCAAGTCCCAGGCTGAACAGTGAGGTTGGCCTAAGTGCCAAGTAGTCCCGGATGAGGGGATGGAAGCTTCTAGGGGGAAATCAATGATATTTGCATCAAAGTAGGACAGAGGGCATACGCATGGTTGCTGGTGGGAGTTTAAAGTGGTTCAACATTTTTGGAGGATGATTTGGCAAAATTGATAGAAATGTTCAAAGTACATCCAAGAGTCTTCTTCTAGGAACCTCATCTGCTGAGATAAAGCACGAGTGCATAAGCCCTGGTCAGAACCCAGGATGCTACTACGGGCTCCCCTTCCATGATAGGAAAACCTGCTAACAACCTGCATTTTTAGGACAAGGTGGCATCTATACTAATAAAAGGGTGATAGCTAATTAGACTGAACATCTTCCGTACAAAGCCATGGTGGCAGGGCTGAGGCAGCCTGCAGGGGGTTAGAGGTGATCAGGCAGGCAGGGAAGAGCAGTTAGGGGGATCAGACCATCAGGGGAGAGCAGTAAGGGGGATCAGGCCAGCAGGGGAGAGCAGTTAGGTGGATCAGGCTGGAAGACAGGTGAGCGGTTAGGAGCCAGCAGCCCTGAGGGGTCCCGGATTGGAGAGGGTGCAGGCCAGGCTGAGGGACCCCCTGCTCCCGTGCAGGAATTTTGTGCACTGAGCCTCTAGTAGACACATAAAAGTCCTTTTGTTAGAGCCATGTAAAGATGTGATGGTTTGACCACAGACTGCAAGTACTTTGTGATTTTATGAACTGGATGCTTTTCAGGAGTTCATCAGCTCTACGAAGAGACCCTATGCAAAGGAGATGGAAACTGTTGACTTCAAAGATAAATTGGAAGAAACGAAAGGTCAGATCAACAACTCAATTAAGGATCTCACAGATGGCAAGTATTTTTATCTACTCTGCTTATGTACTTATTCTCATGAATCTTTCTGTTAAGCAAAAAACTTGAACACCTTAGGGGACTCCTGAGGTGTTTTTAGTACAGAAGCTAAATTCTTGCCCATTGAGCCATTTCAACAACGTAGATTTCTGGACCTTTCTCCATCACCTTATCACTTGGCAGGAATTCCTGGTGCTTTGGTTTTATTTAGGCAAGTAGACCCTGCGCCCTCCTGGAGCCTCAGCTGTGCCTCTAACAAGTCTGGCTTTAGACAAGTCATGAGTCCAGTTTTTCATTGTAAACCTGAAGGGCTTGGACTATAACTTGATGATCCCTGAGGACACGTTTAGCTCAAACATTCTACAAGTTTTTTAAGGAAAAAGGGATTGAGAGTCTTAAGCAATCAAATATACATAGAGCAAAAGTAAATAAAACTAACCATAGTGGATGGAAATGTGTCCTCAGTCCCATAGCTCCCCGACCTGATCGGCTCTCTGCTAGCCCCTGGCTCTTACCTGCAGCATCTACCTGGTCCTGCCTCTGGCTCAGCACTTCCCTCAGTCTCTCCATTCCCTGAATCCTCCCTCCATTACAATTCTGTGAATCTTCCTTGTTGGAAAAGAATTATAAGTAAGATGATTTTGAGTGCAGGTCAGCGTCCACATCCCCGTTCCAGGCACACATTTATATTTACACACGGAGGGACCTGTTGGGACACAGCACTTCATTGTGAGGATGTGAACGACAGTGATGGGTTTTTCAGGCACCACTGCAGTCTGATGAGCGATAGGCTTCTGGGGCAGGGACACACGCTTCCTGTATGAATGGCCAGAGCCACTCTGTGGCTATAAGGGCTCGGGAATGATAGAGTCCATGCCATAGCTTCAGAGTGAGGACATGGAAAAACATTGGCCTTGGAATCTTCAAGTCCTCAGATTCAAATCTAGACACTGCCACTTATTAACTGAAGTGTTTGGATACGGAGCCTCAGTTTACTGAACTGTAAAATGGGGTATATGTTATATAATTTAATTTTTACATGTTTTTTGTGAGGATGAACTTAGATGATATGTGGTAATCAATAATGTGTGGTAGCCAAGATGGTAGCCATAGATCTGGATGCACACACACACATGTATGCATGCATATATATTTGTTATTGAAATGAAGTCCCTATACTTTCATATGTAGAGAGAAAACTGGTATAACATCAGGTTAAACATAGTCACAAGTAAAAAGCAGCTCCTATTTAAATAGTTGTGTAACAGTTTTGCCTTTAGAATTTTTAAATAATAGCATTTTCCCTCTTTGGGACTTTGTTTTAAAATCTTCATAAATTTAAGGTTTTTACTGGGGAAGTTAGTTCAGTGAAAAGGCCTCTGCATTTGGAATCTGGAGCTCAAGGTTTCAGTTGAAGCCACTTCCCAGCTCCCCCACTTCTCTGGCCTTCGAGTTTCCTCAATAACACTATTACATAGTCACAAGTCTCGTAGCATTGGTGACATAATGTGCAGGTCGCAGAGCAAAGTGAAACTGCAGGGTCCTTTATTTAAAAATGTATTAATTTTAAGATGGTGACAGCAGAGCATTAACCAGTGAAGGGACCTTCACATGCAGGTCACAGGCCTGTGCCGTGGGCCTAGAGATTAGGTAAATGAAAATCCCTTGCAAAAACATCAGTGCTATTCAAATAGGAGGACTTAATTTCATTAGGGGGTTATCACCACTGAACTGTTCTGCTGTTGTGACTATAGTGACTACTGTTGCGATAGAGCCTGCTGACCTTGGTGCCAACTGGCTGCCACGTGGGGAGAGGCAGGGAGCTGTGGGTGCAGGGCAGAGTGCTGTCCTGGTTCTGACCTGCTTTCCAGCTGAGAAAACTAGAAAACTACTTGGCCTCTCTGAGCTTCGGTTTCCTCAACTATAAGATGGGGATGATGATCCTTGCCTTGCGGGATCACTGTGAGAGACGTGAACTGAAAATGCCGAGCACATCCATGCATTTCCATTCCAGAGCACAGGTCTCCACCTTTGCTCCTGTGTCATCTTGGGCACATGACTTTTCACCAAGGCTCTGCTTCCTTGTCTGTAAAAAGGGGAGGAATACACAATAGCATGTATATGCATGTCTAGCATGTGGCCTGGCTCAGGATGGGCATTTGGTAGCTTGTGCCTGTCTTCTTCCTCCTCTTCCGTTCTTTTTCCTCCTTCCCCCCTTCATTCTCTTCCTTAGGTGTCTTTGGTAAGACCAGGTGTGGGGAAATGCAAGGAGAGAAAGGAGTCCTTTTGAAATGAGGTGGTCTGGCTCTCACACCCTCCCTGGTGTGGCTCTGGAAGGTGTTAAATACCCAGTGAGTGGACAGGCATGTGCATAGTAGGTGTAGTTGGGAAGAATAACCCTGTACAATTTGTGGTTTCTACAATTGTTTGCAGGCCACTTTGAGAACATTTTATCCAACAACAACATAAATGATCAGACCAAAATCCTCGTGGTTAATGCCGCCTACTTCATTGGAAAGTGGATGAAGAAATTTCCTGAATCGGAAACCAAAGAATGTCCTTTCCGAGTCAACAAGGTATGTGGGTAGCATGTCAAAGGGTCCCAACTATAGATTTGACAATTACAGCCACCCCAGTGAGGGAAATGATGGCACAGGGGTGGTGTGCCTTCCCTGGTAGAAAAAGAACCATAACCCAGAGACTCTCTCTCTTCTCCAGAATGTTCTCAGAGTCTGAGCTGAGTGGGGGCTTATAAAGCTCACAGCCCAGTGGGTAAAGCTAAATCACCCACTGGAAAATGCCTACAAATATTAGGGATGATTAGCAAGAAAGGCAAAGAAACAAACTGAATCCGAACCTCAGAGGCCTTTGAATCATCCTGAAACCTGGGTCATTTGAGGTTCTTGGTCAAGGTCAATACCCTCCTCTGCTCTGTTTCTCATCTGTTCATAGTGAAGTCAATGGTTATGATATTTTAATGTATGAGGTGCTTTGAGACAGTGTTGGCTGTGAGAAACCTGTTTTGCAGGAAAGTCTCATTAAAACTCCTGGGTGAATAATGAGGCCATATCCCATGTGAAAAAAAATTAATGTGGATAGGTAAAGTGCCTCTTCTAGAAAGGAATTCAGAGAACCAAGACTTGAAAATTGACCTATTTCATTCAAGGACCTAGGCCACCCAGAAGTCTATATGATGATGATGTTATTTGGTCTCATTTAATGATATATGACTGTGTTAAGAATGCAGACTGAATCCCAGGTAGCACAATACCTGAAGGGAGTGTGTTTACCTGGTAGCTCCCATTCATTCATTCTAGTTTGCAAGTTTCTCCCAGCACCTTGAGTACCTAGCATTAATCACTTTTTCCCCCCAAATATTATAACACCACCTTTTAAACACTAGAAACCAGGAAGAAAAGACTTTCAAGATACAATTTATACCCGAGTTAGCTGGACTGGCATTTGGTACTTTTTCTTTGTACCCACAAAATTTTATTTTCATTCCCACCTCAGGTGCGCTTTCCAGAGTGAAATAGAATTATATTCTTACTTATCTACATCCCTCTTGAGTGCATGGGCTTTGTAAAGGCAGAGATAATGCCTTATTCATTTCGGTTTCTAACCCCTGGCCCAGGCCCTGGTACATTAGCAGGTGCTCAGCAAATGTCAAATGAATGACCAATCTCTAAGGGTCCGTTTGAATAAACAGTCAATAACAGACCAAACATGATTGGCCTTTGGGACCACCATGGGTGCCTATACAAGATCTATTCGGCATTTCCATTGGGAGGGGACAGTCATAGCTGAAAGGGCTACCTACCCTCCTCAAAAACCCAGACATCCTAGGGAGAGCCCGGCCTTTCCTCCACTTCCTCTTCCTAACTCACCTGTACAGTGGCCTTCTCAAAGCTGCCTGCAGGGCAGGACTGACCCTGCACACAGCCGCCAGTCACAAGACATTTGACCCTTTAGACTGTATTTTTCACATACAGGTTCTTGGGTCTTAAACATGGCTTTGAAGTGTCATTGATCTCTCAGTGTTTCACCCAATAAAACAATAAAACAGGACTCAAAGCTGTGTGGGGACACACCCTCCTTTAGAGTGCAAAGGTCATTACTTTTCCTTTGTTTCCTTTGACTTGCTTTTGTCAGCCCCTGAACTTTCTGAGTGACTTTACTAAGCTTCTCCTCATGTCTTGTGGTGTCTCCTTTAAGGATTAGACTAAATTGATGATGTTATAGTATTAAAAGTTTAGGGTAGTGTTTATTCTAACAAAGGTGGATACACACCACAGATTTTTGTATTACTAACCTAAGAATTAAAAGCCCTAATTAGTTTAATTTCCCCCTCTAACAAAGAAAGAGAACAAATATTTGATGTGTTCTATTTTTATTATAACAAGAATAAATGAATGCATATATATGTGTGTGTGTGTATAGATATGTGTCTATATATGTGTGCATATGTGTGTGATGTGTTTATATGTATGTGTACATATAAAAGCATAAGTCATTGTCTTTTATGGAGGAAAATAAGATATATATCTCTATATATACATGCGTGAATGAAAAAGCAAGCAGCCCAGGTTTCTTCTCCTCTTCCAGACGGACACCAAGCCAGTGCAAATGATGAATCTGGAAGCCATGTTCTGCATGGGCAACATTGACAGTATCAACTGTAAGGTCATAGAGCTCCCCTTTCAAAACAAGCACCTCAGCATGCTCATCCTGCTGCCCAAGGACGTGGAGGATGAGTCCACGGGTCTGGAGAAGGTGAGGAAGGAGGTGGGTGGGCAGCACCAAGGTGCCCTCTGCCTTGGCAGAGCCACATGGCCAGCCCTTGAGGGGCTGTCTGCCTTATGCCTCACTTGCTCTGTCATTTCCAAGGGTTTGTGGTCCTTTCTGGGCCTTTCTCTTTAATGTTCAAACAGCCAACATTTATTTGGCACCTACAATGTGTGCGGAACTGTAAATTCCCTGTGTGCACGACCTCATTTAACTCTCACAACAGGCCTAGGAATTAGAAACTATCACCACAGCTGTTCCCAGTGAGGGAATTGAGGCACAGAAGGGTAGGTAACTGGTCCATGGTAGGTAACATGACATGGTCATCAGTGGTTTGTAGAATCATATTTGAGCCCAAGAAGTTGGAATTCATGTTCTTAACTCTAGACTAGAGTTTCTTATCATTAGCATCTTGCATCAACACAGCGCATTTGTTAAACAATTGATGAGCTAATATTAATACAGGATTATTTACTAAAGTCCACAGTTTACATTAGGGTTCACTCTGTGATGTGCATTCTATGAGTTTCTTGTTGTTCTTTGTTGTTAACCTCATCTGAGGATATTTTTCCATTGATTTTTAGAGAGAGTGGAAGGGAGGGGGAGAGACGCAGAGAGATAAACATCTATGTGGGAGAGACACATGATTGGTTGCCTCCCGTACGGGCCCCGACCTGGGAGGGGATTGAGCTTGCAACCCCAGGACACGCCCTTGACTGGAATCCAACAGGGGCTCCTTCAATCCTCAGGCTAACACTCTATCCACTGAGCCAAACTGGCTAAGGCACATTCCATGAGTTTTGAAAAGTTCTTTTCATTCACACACACATATATGAGATTTAATTATGCTTCGTATTTCATACAGGTTATCAGAGGCACAATATTGAAACACGGTAGAAGTTTTAAGTGCTTGTGAAGGATGTAGCTTCCCCTCTGCTGGTCAGCTTGCTCCTGTGGCCCACTGTTCTCCCTCACTCCCCACTGGCTTCCTAGCTTCCATCCACCTGGGCCTGCCCCGGCCAGGGAGAAGGAGGGAATCTTTGAGGAACTCAGGGGTCACCTGCTGTATTTTCAGTCATGCCTCAGTGACTCCCTCACTTTCTAAGGTTGATCTAACTTAGTCACATCTTATCTGTTACTGCAGCTATCATTATGCTTGCTCTACCATTTGTTCATTGAATTCTAAGTCCATCTCCATTCTTCTTTTACTCACCGGTCTCTCTGTTTTACTCCACTTCATGCTTTCCTCTCATTTTCTCCATTATGCTTGCTCTACCATTTGTTCATTGAATTCTAAGTCCGTCTCCATTCTTCTTTTACTCACCGGTCTCTCTGTTTACTCCACTTCATGCTTTCCTCTCATTTTCTCCATCAGCCATTATTCAGCGGTCTCCCACTTTACTTACTTAAAATATCCACATAGGTTTTTTTTTTCATATGATAGAATGAAAGGAGCAAGTTAAGATGTGCTCAATGAACTTTAAAAAAATTTGTTTTATTGATTTTTACAGAAAGAAAGGGAGGGTGAGAGAGAGAGATAGAAGCATCAATGATGAGAGAGAATTGTTGATTGGCTGTCCCCTGCATGCCCCCTACTGGTGATGGAGCCCACAACCTGGGCATGTGCCCTGACCAGGAACTGATCTGTGACTTCTTGGCTCCTGGGTCATAGCTCAACTACTGAGCCACACTGACTGGGCTCAATGAACAATTTTAAGATGAAACCATATTATGCTTTATTTCATATCTCTCATTACAAATAAAATATTTTGTTGAATCCAATATTTTCAAAATACTATCATTTTAACATGCAATTGCTATAAAAATTATTAATGAGATATTTTACATACTTTGTAATAAGTCTTGGAAATCTGCTGTGTATTTTACACATAGAGCATTTCTCAATTCTTACTGATCACATTTTAAGTGCTTTTCATAGCCATGTATTGGCCACTGTATTGGACAGTATAGATATGGAGGTTTCCTGTTAGGACAGATGAATATTTAGCTTTTATGCAGATTAAGAACATAACCTGCGATTTTTTTCGATTTATTGAGGTATAATGAAACAAAATTGTAAGATACTTAAAAACACGTGAGCCCAGTTTAGTGTATAGCAGGATGATTTAATAAATATATAAATTGTAAAAGTTTATTAACACACCCATCACTATATATATATATCTTTTTATCTCTTAAAAAAATAAACAGGTTATGTTCTTAACTGAAATGGATGCATTCATTGCCTACTCTCCTAAAGAATGATCATAGACAGTTCAAATTTTCATTCTAAAAAGAATTTACCTTAGTTTTAATTTGAGTTATTAAATTTGATGTCAAGCAGAGTACATGATTGTTCTGGATTTCCTAGTAGTGAAATAAAAATAAGCATTTGAGAAATCCTATATAATAAAAGGCTACTATGTAAATTGTCCCCTCGGCCAGGAGTTCGGGAGTTTGGGAGTTTGACCAGGGGCAGGGCCAGCCGGCCAACTGCCTGTGGCCCCTCCCCCTGGCCAGCTGGCCAATTGGCCTTTATCAGGATGGGCCGGCTGGACCCCACCCATGCACAAATTTGTGCATCGAGCCTTTAGTATTATATATGAAAACACTTCTGATTTTGTTTCACTATTACTTATGCAACACCATAATCCATGCATTTATTTCTATAAAACTACTCTACAGCTTCAAAGAACTGCCCTCATAAATTGCAGTTCAAAGGGACCACAGTTGTAGGGTGGGGTGGAGACCAATGCTAGGTGGAGGACCTTTTAAAAGAGAAACTAGTCACACACCCAACCTGCAGGGCTGATTCCATTTTTGATGGTCCCTCTGTATTACTTCCAAACTGGGCTCACCTGTTTTGCATCAAGCAGGTTCTTTTACCACAGGAAGTAGAAACAATAATTTCCTCTCCTTTTTGCCCTTCAGGTTGAAAAACAACTCAACTCAGAGACGCTCTTGCAGTGGACCAATCCCAGCACCATGGCCAATACCAAAGTCAAACTATCCATTCCAAAATTTAAGGTGGAAAAGATGATTGATCCCAAGGCTAGTCTGGAAAACCTAGGGCTGAAAAGTACCTTTGATGAGAGTACATCTGATTTCTCTGGAATGTCAGAGACCAAGGGAGTGGCGCTCTCCAATGTTATTCACAGAGTGTGCTTAGAGATAAGCGAAGATGGTGGGGATTCCATAGAGGTGCCGGGATCAAGAATCCTGCAACACAAAGATGAATTCAGGGCCGACCACCCATTTATTTACATTGTCAGGCACAACAAAACTCGAAACATCGTTTTCTTTGGCAAGTTCTGTTCTCCTTAAGTGTCAGAGCCCAGGTTAAGTCCCACCTGGCTTTTCTGTAAACTCTACAACCAGAGAATCCCTTTCTAAATACGATAACTTGTTAATATTGCTGGAGGAGGAATGCCTTGGTGCTTGTTCTATGTAGCCCTCACACTAATAGGCCTTTTTCTCCTAATCTTTTCTTTTATGCCCCTTTCCTCCCATCAAAGACAATACTTTGAAGGAAAAGAAAATATGTATTCATTATTTGTTACACTATCTAGGGTTATGGGCAGATATACGGTTGTTCACAAAGAAAATTCCCATAAAGAGCTTTGCCTTCCTTCATTGGGATACAGAATGTTCCAGATGTTCTCACTTCCCTGAAAGGCTAAACAAACTGTGGTTTATGGGATCTGACAAACTTTCCTGGTTCCAGTGAAATGTGAGCACATGGTCAGGCTACTGTAGGTCCACAGCTCTTTATGCTAAACCCTGAGGGACAAATGTATTCTTCAAGCTCTGCCTTTGGGGGCTTTTAGAAAGATAATGTGTTGCACAAACTGTATGTTATGGAAGTCCATTGAAAGAGTCTGAAACAACATCCTATATAGAAGTCATTATCTTGATGTTCCTGCCATAAAATGTATAATATTGACACAAAATGGGAGTCTGAAACAACACCCTATATAGAAGTCATTACCTTAAGATTCCTGCCATAAAATGTATAATATTGACACAAAATGGATAAAGGTTTTGCTGACAAAAGGGGTATGGCACCAGCTCGTGAACAGGCTTTGTTTTTAGAACGTTTTGAGACTTTGGAATGTTGGCTAAGGCAGTGGTCGGCAAACTGCGGCCCCTTGAGTGTGGCTCTTCCACAAAATACCATGTGCGGGCACACACGTACAGTGCGATTGAAACTTTGTGGCCACATTCAAGGGGCCAAAGAGCCCCATGTGGCTTGTGAGCCACAGTTTGCCGACCACTGGGCTAAGGAATTGCAGACCTAGCGTCGCTGACGTGCAACCCCTCAAAGGAAGGGCAGATCTAATTCATTTTCACTTTTGATAGAATGACCACCTGGTCATTTGGTTGGGGACAGACTGATGGCTGGGGCTTCTGACTCAGCAAGGTTTTGGATGTTTGACAGCCAGGGCCTTAAAAAGCACAGGAACCCTCACGGTAGCCAATAAAGGAGTTTTATGAGTGTTGAAGGAACTTGCCTCTTTGTCTAATGTGGTAGTGGGGAAGGGCATGAAACTTACATCTTTAGAAAATATAACTAGAGCCATTGAAGTGCTCACGTGGCTTTGACATACTTTTTCTAAGACTGTGGGTTTAGTCACTATAGATAGCTAGTCAGTCACTTGCATTAATAGTAATTTTAAAAGTTGATCTGATAAGTTATCTATATTACAAGTTCACATATTAATTCACTATCAAAAGAGCACATTTACGAAGATTTTGTGACAACACATCCCCATCTCTTCCTTGTAAATAGGTTCCACTGTCTTCTTGCTCCAAAGGATTAATATAAAATTTCTTTTATGCTATTGACAATAAAATATTATTAAACTACATGTCTTGTTTTTTTCTCCATAAAGTTAGATTTACTATTTTGAAATAAAATCAAGCCATCTATTTATAAAAGCATTCCTTTACATAAATAATTTTTTGAGAGATTGATATAGAATAAGATTAATTACTGCCCTGTTTTCCTGTCTTCCTTTCTCTCTGCCCACCAGCTCTTGCTTCCTCCTCCCATCCTCTTTCATCCTGGGGTCAAGGCCCAGGAGAGTCTAGAAGGACTTTCAGCTACATACAAGTATATAATGAAATGGAGGCTTTTGGGTCCAGCCTCAAAATATAATTTTATCAAGTAAGCTGTATATGCTTAAAATGTTTTCTTATTAAGTACATTTTCCTTAATGCCATGTATATTTGTTTTAAATTACTTATAGTTTCCTTGAATCTAATATTCAACATAGTCATTTTCCAGTCCCCAAAGTGTGCCCAAATAGAATGTGTCCTCCCTTGCAATAAATGTTGAGTACCAAAAGTGACAAATGCCCCGCATTCTAACAAGAAAAGACCATTTGTGCATGATGGCTGGGAGTGGCCCAAACCACTCTTGGCTCCTTCTCCCCCTTCTCTAAGCTATGAAACAGGAAGTAGGGAGGACTGAAAAGCTTAGTGAATATTTAGAGGGAAGATAGTGTCTCTTTAAGCCAAGTGTTCATGGAGCATAAAGTCTCTCCTGGAATTTAAAAGCACTGAACTTTTTTTTGTTAACTCTTGCTTGGGATAGTCTAATCCATTGATTTTCAACCAAGGCCAATTCTGCTCCCTAGGGGACATTTGACAATGTCCAGGGACATTTTTGTAACAACTAGGGGGAGGGTGCTACAGGCATCTAGTGGGTAGAGTCAAGAATTTTGCTAAACACCCTACAATGCCTGGAACAGGAATAATCACACAACACCAATAGTGGGTGACTGAGAGACCTAGGACTCTACTGACCTAAAGGACAGATGCTGGCTGGAGGGGACCCTAAAGCAGAGCAAGGAGAACAACCTGGAGAGGCAGGTCCCTGCTTGCTTCACTACACTGAGATGTGTAGGCAGCCAGGCTTGGTGATTTTGAAACTCTGCCCTGGAGGAGTGTAGGGTCTCCAAGGACCCCACAAGAACACCCCGTGAAGAAGTTAATATTTGGTACCTCTGACACAGGATACTGGATTCCAGCAGTCAAGAAAGGTCCTTACCCCTCACCTCTCCTTCCATTCCTGGCCCCACAAGTCGGGCCCTGTGGAAGGAGGAGAGGAAGAGCAAGGTGCATAAATGGTGAGGAAGCCACCTCCACTTCCATTCCCCTGTGGGGTTGTGAGCCCGAACCAGCTGTGGTGGATGGAGACGCTCTCAATCAAAAGAACGTTCTTCCCGACCGAGTGGCTCAGTGGTTGCGTGTTGACCTATGAACCAGGAGGTCACGATTCAGTTCCAGGTCAGGGCACATGCCCAGGTTGTGGGCTCGATCCCCAGTAGGGGGCATGCAGGAGGCAGCCAATCAACAATTCTCCCTCATCATTGATGTTTCTCTCTCTCTTCCCCCCTCCCTTCCTCTCTGAAAAAATAAATAAAATAAAATAAAATAAAATAAAATAAAAAAAGGAATGACGTTCTGATTTAAAAGAATTCTGGGCTTTTTCACTTCTGAAAATGTCTTTGTTGATACATGAAAGTGACTTGGGGGCATTTAGTTAAGGGGATTTGGTCCAGGAGATGGGGAGGCAATGCAGCAGAATGGGTCTGGAAGGGCCCTGGAAACAAAAACTTTAGCTGCATTTCCTAGTACTCTGCCAGTCCAGTCTACCAACAAACTGGCTGCAAGTACATTGTCTCATTTACTCATCATAGCACATATATGAGGAGGAAACTGTGACACTGTCTTATAAGTGAGGATACTGAGACACAGAATAGCTGTATAATCAGCTCAAGGTCATAGGGCTAATGGAAGCTGATGTCTAGGCTTGACCTCTGTCTGACTGAGCCCAGAGCTATAGCTCTGACCTCTGTACTTGATGCCCTCATTTTCCAACTGTCACTCACCCTTGACAGATGGCCACTGAATGTACCTGGAAGAATTCCTCTCTCCTCTATGCCTTCTCTAGTTTGGAATTAAAGATCCATCTCATTCTGGTAGTCCGTTTCTGTCAACCAAAACATCTATAGATGTAACTGCCTGATTAGGTCCATTTGTAGAGCCTCTTTTGAGGGCCAGATGGTGTATGTGAAGGTGCTTTATGGACGTTACTCCATTTGCTCATTTTCACAATAACCCTACTGATAGGGGCTAGTTCATCTATTCATCTATTTCATGAGGAAATATGGGCTCAAAGGAGTTGATAAAGGACCAAATTGGTAAACAACAGGATTTGGCTGCAGCTCTGTCTGACCCTAAAGCCCACACTCCTTGCACTATGACTTATGGCCTTTGGATCATACATTGGGGCAGGCTCCTCTGGATGGCTTTAAAGTCTTGTATCACATAGGCCCCCTGGCCACCCATTATTGCCAAAACAATCAGTTTGTCCCTGTTCTTCAGGAAAAAACAAAACAAAACAGAAGACAAACCACCTTGGCCCTGTGCTCCTCCCCAGCAGGACATCAGGAGCAGTAGGTCCTCTTTCCTGCCCTGAGAGCCCAGGCTACCTGGCGGTCACTGGCAGATAGCGGACTTCTGACTCAGATGGCTTGGCCCAGAAAGCACTGAGGAGGAAGTGGGATTTTGGAAGGGCCTGGAGCCTCAGTCTCATGTGGATGGACAGAGTGGGGGAAGGGAGCCCACAAGGAGAGGCGTGTGCTCATCGGTTATGGAAGGAAAACAAAATGATGCACATGGGGCTCAGAGTGGTTGTGGAACCTGAAGGGAAAAGCAGGAGTTCAGATTGAAATTGTGGTTGTGTGATGAGCACTGGTGTCCAGGTGGTCTGATGATGGCAGTGGCCAAGGCTGAGCTGTCAACATCAGAGCTGCCTTGCAATGGTCCTAAAAAAATTGGAGCTATAAAAATATTACCTCTATCTATCTACACACACACACACACACACACACACACACACACACACCTACTTCAGAATGGGATTACTGAGTCATACATGATACAAATATTCAGCTTTGGTAGATACTGCCAAAGAGTTTTCCAAAGTGGCTTTCCTTAATTATTATTATTAATGGTTACTATTATTTCTATTTCTCATGGGTTGTTATTTATTGTTTTATCTTTTATTATTAAATAATAATTATTGATTTCAAAAAATAATGTTATCTTAAAATAATTATTACCAATGATTACTTTTTCAACTAGGAATCTTCTCAACCCCACTGCCAGCATGACACGTTACAAATTCAGTTTCCACAACAGTCCCACGAGGACCTGCCTGAGGTGGAGGGCACGGAGAGGAGAGACACGAAGAAACTTGCGAAGCACACATGGCTGAGTTGTGTGGTTAGGGTTTAACCTCCGACTCTGATTCCAGAGCCCACATGTTTAATCTCTATGTACTTGATTACATTAAAACTTTTTACTTGGTGAACTAACCATTTACCTACAAGGGCAGATTTACTTCTGTTTATGTTAAAAATGAAATATTAGGTTAAATACAAGACAATGAATGTAGATAAAGATAAGTCTTAGCTAAATCTTTATAGAATAAGCAAACTTTCGAGGAGTGTTTACTTTTCAAACATTTCTGATTAAGTCTAATACGTTTTCTGCAATTCTGAGCTTTTCCCTCAGGGGTCATATTCAGTCAACTGTATGGCATTTGCTATTCCCACCAGATTTGAAAGGCTTCCTTTTTTTTAGTTTTAGGTCTTTGAACTGGTTTCTACAACATTCTTGCCCTCCACCCACCCCACTGATGTGAAAGATTGAATAGATGGACATTTCCCTGTTCAATGGCTTCCTCCCTGTCTCTGTCCTCCACCCAGACAATAGCAGCTGCCTCAATTTGTGAGGCCTTTCAAGTGAGGAGAACAAAGTGTCCTACTGACAGTAAACCACTGTTCTTGACCCAAGTCCTAGAACAGAAAAAGTAGATGGCCTCATTCTCCACTAGGGATAAGATACTTGTAGGCATGTCCCTTGCTATACCTATGTAGCCTAGACGGAGCCTCCTCATTTGTCCCATAAGCCCATGGAGCAGAGAGTTCAATGGCAGTTGCCCGGGGCAGGGAGGTGGGGGAAATGGGGAGTTGTTCAATGGATATAAAGTTTCAGTTATACAAGACTAGGAGCCCAGCGCATGAAATTGCACAGCGCCACCCATCCTTG